CTGATCTGCCTCGCCCGGGAAGAATGCAATGATGGTGCCAACTTGGGCCAGTGAAGCAATGTCCTCCACAACTAGACTGAAGAACAAAAGGACAGGAAGTTGTCTGTTCCCCTTCCCCCGATTCCCCAGCGCTGTTCCCATCACCCAATTCCCCAATAAAAAAAAATCTTACAAAAAAAATGTGTACACCTAAGTATCAATGTGTGTGTATAAAAACACATTCACTTACATAGATGATAATGACTCAAATATGTTAACAACTTGTGATTCTGAGTAAAGGGTATATGAGAGATTTTTGTATAATTTTTAGCGTGGGGGAGTTTTAAATTTTTTCAAAACAAGAAATTTAAAGAAATGCAAAATCCCATAATTTAGAGATAACTAGAAGTAAATATCTATCGATGCATCTATGCCTTTAATGAGATCACACAAAAATGCCATACTTTTTGTTTTTCCACATTAATATATTCTGGACATCTTCCAACATCTGTAAGTATAAGTTTATCTTCTCCTGGTTGATGTTTGCATAGTGTTCCACTGGATCAATAAATTGTAAAATACTCTGGCAATCCAATTATTTCTACATTTGCTACCATAAACAATGATGCTCTCATATACATTTGTGGCAGATACAAATTTACTTCTGAAGAGCAAAGATTCATCTCTGGGGAGCTATTTCTTAGTTTTACTCCAATATACCATATGAACTAAAGCAATCATATTATGTAAGTTCTTGGCTACAGGAAATTTTTAGTCAGTTATTTTATTCACTTCATTTTTCATAGCTTTATAGCTTTAGTAAAAATAAGGGTCACTGTAAGTATGTATAAAATGGACGTTAAAGGAAAAAATAATCCAAAATCTTCCTTGACCCTCCCCTACCCCAAAACTAGCTAATATATAGCAAATATCCTTTTTATAATTATCTTTAGGCATGTATTCACTTTGGAAGACCATTTTTATCAATTGGATCTTACCAAGAGGGTTACAACCTATTTCTCTCCTGAATATGAGTCCTATTCCTGTTACTCTGGTTCTATGTCATCATTTTAAAGAGTCTGTTAGAAAGATTCCAACTGAAGAAATCCTTTCCGCTCTCAATCCTTTATAGTGTTTCTCACCAGCATGGATGTTCCAGAACCTTGTAGGTATATATCCTGACTGAAGCCATTCGCGCATTTGTCATTTTTAAAGATTCTTGCCAGTGTGGACTTTCTGATGGTACGTAAGACGTGAACGGTGACTGAAGTCCTTACCGCATACATTACATTTATATGGTTTTTCTCCAGTGTGGACTCTCTGATGGGCCTGAAGACGTGAACTCTGGCTGAAGCCCTTACCACACTCCTCACATTTAAATAATTTCTCTCTTGTGTGAACACTCAGATGGACTCTAAGATTTGAGGGGAGACTGAAGGCCTTCCCACACTCCTCACATTTATGGGGTTTCTCTCCTGTGTGGACCCTCTGATGATGGCGAAGATTCAAGCTCCTCCCAAAGCCTTTCCCACACTCTTCACATTTGTAAGGTTTTTCTCCAGTGTGGCCTCTCTGGTGGTATATAAACTGTGAACTGTACCTAAAGCCCTTCCCACAGACATCACATTTGTATGGCTTCTCCCCAGTGTGGACTCGCTGATGGGATTGAAGACCAGAGGACTGGCTGAAGCCCTTCCCACAGACACCACATCTGTATGGTTTCTCTCCTGTGTGGACTCTCTGATGGACACGAAAATCTATGGCCTGACTGAAGCTCTTATCACACTCCTCACATTTATAGGGTTTCTCTCCTGAGTGGACTCTCTGATGAGCATGAAGATTTGATCTCCAACTGAAACCCTTCCCACACTCCTCACATTTGTATGGTTTTTCTCCAGTGTGAATCACTCGGTGCAGTTTAAGATTTGAACTATAACTGAAGTCCTTACCACACACATCACATCTGTAGGGTTTCTCTCCAGTGTGGACTCTCTGGTGGGTTTGCAGCTTTGATGACTGACTGAAGCCTTTCCCACACGTTTCACATTTGAATCGTTTCTCCCCAGTGTGGACATTCTGATGGACTTGAAGATTTGAAGCCTGACTGAAGCCCTTCCCACACTCCTTACATTTGTAGGGTTTCTCTCCGGTGTGGACTCGGAAATGGATGTGAAGATCTGTATTACGGGTAAAGCCTTTCCCACACGCCTCACATTTGTATGGTTTCTCTCCAGTGTGAACTCTCCGATGGCAGATTAATGGTGAATTGTGACTGAAGCACTTACCACAGACATCACATTTATAAGGTTTCTCCCCAGTGTGGACCCTCTGATGTATGTGATAATGGGCAGCCTGGGTGAAGCCCTTCCCACACTCCTCACATCTGTAGGGTTTCTCACCCCTGTGTACCCTCTGATGGACACGAAGATTCACACTCCAACCGAAGCCCTTCCCACACTCTTCACATTTGTACGGTTTTTCTTCAGTGTGGACTCTCTGATGGCATTGGAAATTTGAACTTTGACTAAAGCATTTACCACACTCCTCACATTTATAAGGTTTCTCTCCAGTGTGAGTTCTGTAATGAATGGTAAGACCTGTGCTGCTACTGAACCCCTTGCCACAACTCTCGCATCGATAGGACTTCTCTCCTGCGTGATGAGAATGAGAATGAAAAGAGCTCTTATTGAAGCAATCACCGGACTCATGACATTTAGCGAGTTTCTCTCCTGAGTGAGTCCCCTGACGAGTCTGCAGATGTGAGTTCTGACTGGAGCACTTCTCTCCTGTGGGAACATTCTGATGACTCAAAAGCACCAAGCTGTAACTGACGCCCTTTCCACACTCACTACATGAATGGAGTTTCTCTCCGAAGGGTAAATGCTGACTGAAGCCATCATTCCTGCTTCTGCCACATTCATTAGATTTGTAGGGGTTCTGTTCTGTGTCAGTTTTAATGTGATCACTAAGTGGTGGTTTCTTCATGAAGGCTTCACGTACATGCGGGTTATTTTTCACATGAATTTGCTTACCTCTACTCTGATTCTGTGACTCACTCAGATATATATTCCCACAAGAATCCTGGATTCTTGAAATTGAGAACTCTTGATTTCCAAGGTAACAGTAGCTATCTCCTTTATGATTTACTAGATCATTCTCATTTGCAAAAACCTGAACAGAATTGCCTTGCAGTGACTGGGAACTCTTCCTCTGAAGACACCTGTGTAAATCACTTGCAACCTGTTTCCAGATTTGCCAGCAGGGCAGCTCTTCACGTGAAAGGTATTTTAATGCAACTTTTTGAAGCATCTCCACCTCATTTTGATTCTTGTTGCCTATAAGAAACAGCGATATTCAGAGATGAGGACAAGTGACTGCTTGGTTCAGAAATCTCAGGACTTCATACTTAGGCCATAGGAAAAGGCCTTAATAAACCAGAGGAAGGGTCATGTCTCTACAATAGCATTTATCCTTTTCTTGCTTTTCCATGCAAGTGAAAGCAAAGGATGGAGTCAGCAGGCACTTATCCACTAAATTAAGTCTGAGCCATTTAGAACTATGAGTGTAACAGTTTAACACAAGAGCTGTAAGTTTGAAATCAGATGGCCGCAAAGTAATAATCCTCATTCCAACCTAGGATGACATCAACTAAAAGCCTACTCACATGTTGCTCAGTATTCTTATGACCAGTGGGATGCTACCCAATTAGGTTACAAAAGCTCAGACTGTAGGCATAAAATAGTATTTTGGTTCTGACAGAAATTATCTTCTAAGAGTAAATTTGGCAAATGGTTGGGATAATATTTGTTCTAAACTTGGAAGTAATTCACGTCTCTGTAAAAAGGAGTGTGAAAAAGGGAAAACTAATCTTGTCCAACTGAGAAAGAACATGGGAGGGGAGAAACAGAACATAGCACAGACTATCAAAGGCAACCCTAAACAGGAAGAGAGGGAGGGGTCTATTCAGCCTAGAAAGCTTTCTCCCAGAAAGCTGCGACTCTTGGTTTTTCTCTCATTCCCTTTGGATCTTTGCTCAAACATCACTCAACTGGGTGAGGACTTCCTTATCACCCAATATAAAATAACTCCTCCCCACCCCCTTATACCCTTTATTCTTCCCATATGCCTTACCCTACTTTATTTTTCCCCATAGCACTTATCTAATTGACTATATACTTCCTAATTTTTTTCTTGTCTTTTTAAACCCACTAGAATATAACAGTCATGAGGAAAACACGCACTGTTTTCTTCACTGCTTTATCCCCACTGCAACAGAATTTTTCAAATCGTTGGGATGTTTTAGTGAACTGTGAAATCAATTCCATAATTGTGGCAAATATATTTTTTTTAAAGAAACAGAATAAAAACATGAGAAGTGTCACGAGCTGTAAGAGTACCACTACATGAAATGCTTGTTTCAGGTGTAGACATACATGTAAATATGCACGTTTTTAATATATTTATGCTGGTTCAAGATGTAAAATATTTCTCATTAAGGGTCATGGTTAAAAATGTACAGAAGCCGCTGGCTTAAAATGTTTAAGGGTGGGCGGGGGTGGGCTGGGGAGGTGGTACCAAGTCCTTGAAAACTAATTTGCTTAAATGGAAAGTTAGGTTCTAATAATACAAGCTGGAAAAGTCTCAACAGAAATGCACCCATCTCTGGGTGTGGTAGGCTAATCAAATGGCTCCCTAAAGATGTCCCTGCACTCATCCTAGGAACCTGTGAATATGTTAGTGTACATGGCAAAAGGTACTTTAGAGTAAACTGAGGTTATTGAGAATAGGAGGTTATCCTGGATTATCTGAATGGGCCCAAAGTAATCACAAAGAGCCCTTAGAAGAGGGAGGCGAGAGGGAACTCTCCCAGACCTTATCCTGTGCATCGTCCCTTTTGCTGGTTTCAATGTGTATTCTTTGTGCTATAATAAAATTGTAAATATAGCACTTTCCTGAGTTCTGAGTCATTCTAGCGAATTATCATGGAAACCCATGACTTTGCAGCCAGTTGCTCAGAGGTGAGGGTGGCCCTGGGAGCCCCAGCTGCTGTGTGAAGTCTTGGTGGGCAGTCTTGTGGACAACTGTGCCCTCAGCCTGTGCAGTCAGGGCTAACTTCCAGTTTGGTATCAGAAGTCATTGCAATATGTCAAAGGCTTCTCACATTGCTTGTGATATCAGCTAGTTGGTATCATAAGGATACAAGTTACACTGGCAAACTTACTTGAAATTCTGGAATTTTCTTTTTTATTTAGGACTTTCCTCATCTCCACAGGCCTATCAGTGCCTTTTGACTTCTGGAAAGAGCCAATTTGGAACTACTGAACAACTACCACACATAGGTTGTATGAGTGTTTAGGCATAAGAGAGAGGGGAGGGGGAAAGTGGGCAGTGGGCCGTATGGATGACGCAGTTTTCGCTCATAAATAGCCAACTTGAAACTGTTACATGAGAACTGGTGAATTATAAGGCCTGGCATATCGATGCTGATAATTTTGATAGTTTAGTAATACATTCTGATAATTGTAAATAGCTTTTATCTCCTGAGGTTGACAGCTCTGAATCTTTACATATTCCAAGTTGTCTAAGAAATCAGAATTATGTTAGACGCTCACTGGAAGACAATGTTCCAAAATAATCCACTAGTCACACTAATGTGCTCTAAACATTTGAGCCATCTTGGGGAGTAATGAGACGTGAGGTCCACTTGTCTCCATTACCTGTATGCTTTTTGTTTTTAGGAATCCTTACAAAAACTAGCCCTTTAATTTGAGCTCCTGGGACCTATAAAGAGCATTTCAAGATGGTATCTGTACATGGAGCTTGGCTGCAAAATCCTGAAACATGTTGATGTTCAAGAGGTCAAAAAAACCTTTAAGAAAAACTGGCAGAAAATGCTGTAAGATTTGTTAAAAGAGAGACTTGGTCTATTCAGCAAAACCGAAAAGTGACAAGTGCTTAGGATCATAATTCCTAAGGTTAAGTCTGCAAATGAAAATGAGACCCAGTAAAGTGGCGGCAGGATCTAACATTCCTGAATGCACCAAAAGTGAACAAATGTAGACATAAAAAGAGAGATGGACAAAAAAAGACAAGTTATACCCATCAACTACTGACAAAATTCAGGGCCTGATCTGTCGTGTTAATAGACAAGCTTCTGTTTTGTTTTTCGGCAGAGGGAACATATATACATTTATATTCCGTAGGAATTTTCAATTTTTAAATGAGTAGAACGAAGGAATATGCAAATTAAAGACAAAGGAAAGAAGGGGCGAGAAAGAAAGGAGGTAAAAAATGAATGAATGATATTGGGGGGAAATGGGGCGGCGGATTGGGGGAGGGGGGTTGTCACTTCGAGGGGTAAAAAGTATAACTATTGCACTGTGTTGTACAGCTGAAACTAATTCTAAAAAAATGTGTATTTCATAATAAAAAATAATTTAATAAAAAAAATTTTTTTTTAAATGAAAGAGAGGTGAAGTGAAAAAGTAAAAGGGCTGCCTGGGACTATGGATGAGGCACTCCTCACAGATGGGAAAGGCTAGGACTGTTGGTTAGGAGAAGCCAACAGGAGAGCTTCCTCAATTCTATTTAAAGAACAGTAATTATTTAAATAATTTATTCATTCAACAAGTACGTACTGAGCACCTACTATGCAGAAGGCCCATTGGAGGCTTTGTGTAGACATGGCAAATAAAACTGCCCAAATCCCTATTTTCATAGGGAGAGATGATAAACAAGTAAATAAAAATATGCTGAGCCGGCCGAGTGGCGCGTTAAGAGCTCACTTGGGAGCGCCAGTTCTGAGCAGCAGGGCTGCGGTTCGGATCCCACATTGAGGGCCAATGACGCTCGCTCTCTACAGCTAAGATGATGAACAACAGCTCGACCTGGAGCTGGGCTGCTGTGAGTCGCCGGCGACGGCGTAGGCTGCAGCGGGGCTGCAGTAGGCTGCCGTGAGCTACGTGAGTGGCTGGCAGCCAGCGTGAGCGGCTGGCAGCCGGTGTGAGCTGCTAGGAGCCACTGTGAGCGGCCGACCAATGACCGGCGACCGATTGCCTCACCCGGGAAGAGCACAATGACCATACCAACATGGGCCAGTGAAGCAACGTCCTCCACAACTAGACTGAAGAACAAAAATAGCAATTTGTCTACCTGTCCGTTCCCCTTCCCCAATTCCCCAACGCTGTTCCCCTCCCCCCAATTCCCCAATAAAATCTTAAAAAAAATAATAATAATGCGCTACTAGGTCAGGAGGGGATTGGTGCTTAGACACAAAATAAGGCAGGGTGAGGGGATGGAGAATGGAGAGAGGATGATAATGTAAATAGGGCAGACACAGGCGGCCTATCTGGTGAGATGAAATCTGAGCAAAGTCCCGAGTGAGTAAGGGAGTGGCTAGCGACTCTATTCCGAGGCAGAGGAAAGCTGGTCAAATGCCATGGAACAAAAGGACACTCCAAGATAGCAGGAATGTTCTAGTCGGGGAAAAGGAGAGGAGATCAAAGAGGAACTTGGTGAGGACGCCAGATCAGGTAGAGTCTTGCCAGCCACACTGTAAGGATGCTGAGTGACATGGGAAGTCTTCAGAGGGTTTTGAGCAAAGGAATGGCATGATCTTCCTTGCGTTCCAAAGAAATCACGCTGGCTACCAGGTGGAGAATAGATTATAGGAATGCAAGCGGGGGGCATGGAGACCAGTATGGAGGCCATTGTCACAGTCCAGGCAGGAGAAGACAGCCCTCGGACAGGGGTGGAATCATGGACATGGGGGGCAGCAGATTAGCTGGTACCTGAAAGAACAGCCATGTGGCTCCCACTGGAATTCTCATTTCTTTGGGCTTCTCTTTTCATCATCCAAAGCTTTTCTTCTGCCTCCAGCTGGGATACCACATCTGGTTTGAAGGAAAGATGTCCTATGAAAAGGCAGGTATATGTATTTAAGATGCACATGCAGCTAAAACATATTTTTGTTTAAGTTCTATAATCCTCAGAACCTCCTCTAAAGCGATATTTTAACAATTTTTTATCATGAACTGTAATAAGAAATTTCGGTCATGACCTAGTTCATGTCTACATATAGATGAAATTAGAGTTAGCCAATGTCTGTTGTCATCGTATTTCCCATACTCTCACACCACTCACTGCAAATGGTCACAGTTTTCGCTGCAATGTGAACAAGTCTTGATAAGGAACTTGGAAAGAATAAACTAGGATAAGGATAAAGCTATTTCAGGGAAAAAAAGGAATGCCAGTACAATGTATTAAGTTGATTCCATGACCCACCAATGGGTCACAACCATATTTGAAAGACAAAGTATTTGAAAGACAATGTATAGAAACTAAGCTGCCCATTTATAATTCATTTGAAACAGGGTTTCTCAGCCGAGGCACTGTTGATATTTTGGACTGGCTAATTCTGTGTTGTGGGGGTTGTCCTGTGCATTGTGGGACATTTAGCAGCATCTCTCCCCCAAGTTGTGACAATCAAAACTTTCTCCAAATATTGCCAAATGTCGTGGTGGAGGAACGGGAGACAAAAATCACCCCTGGACAGAATTTTGCCTGAGCAAAAGACTAAGAAAACCTTTACCTATAGTCTCAGGGGTTAGAAAAACTTCTATCTTCAAGGTCAGGGAACCATTTCAAAGAGTCCAAAAGTTTGAACAACTGAGGACAGAGACTCTCAAAGGGTTTGAGATTCAGTGTCAGAGGGCGCCTGTCCTCACCCACTGAGACCAGGTTCCTGAAGTTCTCCAGCATCACCTCTCGGTACAGCTTCCTCTGGGTGGAGTCCAGCAGCCCCAGCTCCTCCTCTGTGAAGACCACGGCCACGTCCTTGAAGGTCAATGGCTCCTACAACAGCAAACATACTCCACCTAAATCTTGCAACAAAGATCCACTGGAAGGCCAGTATCAAGAAGTTAAAGAGGATTACCAAAAAAATTGTTACAGAGCTGGAGGGACCCCCCCCCAGGCAGTTTTTAGTCCCAACAGTTGTCCCTCCCTCTCTGCCTCCCCACAGAGCTTGGACTCTATCACTGTTTCTGATGTCTGCAAAGCCCACCGGCCATCTGCAAACCTCCAGGATAGATACATAGCTCTTCCACTGTGTTTTCAAGGCATATGCCAAGTCCATCTACTGTGGCGTTCGTTCACAGCTAGTAAAGGTACAGGCTGAGTTCAAATTTCAAAGTTTTAATTACAGGGAGCTAGACAAATTCCTTAAGCTCTCACAATCTCAACTTCCTCTTCTCTACAATGGTGTCGAAACCACAAGGTGTTTGAAAGGATTAGATGAGTGAATATGTATAAAGCACTTAGAATGGTGCCTCACACACACACAAAAAAGCTCAATAAATCTGAACATTAGTGTTATTATAATCTCTTGCATTCCATTTTGTGACTGCACAGTATAACAATTCCTTAGAACTGACAATTTATTTTTAGTCAGTACAAATAATCTATAATTGGTTATAGCTTTTTACTTATTATTAATGCTGCAAAGGTCCTTTTACAGAGATCTTAGTCAAGAAGTAGCAATTGTAAAAGCATAAAATTTGCACTTAAAAATTTTTGAAAGCATAATGGCAGATTTCCCTCTCAAAAGGTTTTCCCATTTCACCTTTCATGTGAGAGTACAAATGTCCCTGAATCTCTAGACTGACCACATAGGACATAATTCCTTTTAAAAAAAATATTTAACAATCTAAGTGAAATAAATAAATAGAAAGCTTTTACTAACATTTGCACATATTCAGTTATTAATAGTCATTAATTTCTTCATAAATTTACTTTTTTGGGGGGGACATTCCTATTATTTTTTTTTACTCATATTCCCTTGGGTTTTTATTAATCTTACTAATCTTAGTAAAAATTACAGATATTAAGCTTTTATCTAATATATATAAGTATATCCCATCAATTCTTTTTTTTTTTTTTTT